GTCTACCGGAACAGGGTTTCTCCGAGGCCGATATCGAAGCGTTCTTCCTTCAACTGTCCTCAATGGACTCAAACAATTGGGATAACAGTGTTGGTGTGGGCGAGCGGGAAGGACGGGTCTTGCTAGATCTAGTCCGTCGTCGACACTTTGGGTAAGTTCCCCCAAATCACCGGACTGTTTGTCCTACTTGGTTTGATGTCGCTCGTCTGTGTAAACGATTATCAAATCATAGGTTGTATTTGGACGTATACAACTACTAGGAGCCTCAAATAAGCGTATTCCGAAAGACCCAAATCAACATCTCCGCTTTTGACTACCTCAGATACCAAAAGCAATTACAAATTAAAGATCTCCGTTGTAGGTTCCTTGTTAATTTAAAACCACTACTGTCCGTTTTAGAATTTGATTATTTTGCGGTTCTCGGAAATACCGATGCATCGTTTTGTTATTTAACACGTAACCAATGCAACAGAAACCGGCATAAGTGCTACACCATATGGGATGAGCATAGGTTGTAAGGATATGCCACTTCTGGCTTCCTCGGTAAACGAATTTCAGTTAAATATCAAACCGGCCGGATAGCAGAACGAAGCTCAGCGTCCACAATCGATTTGGGGCCCGCTATTCAATTCATTGCATCACACATCTCTGGTGCGGAGAGTCAGATATCCAGGATGCCCGGTACACTTCGATGTTCCATCAAGTTGATTACCACGACCAGAACCAGGAAGATGTGTGTGCGTGTGTGTTTTAAAATCAGTGTTTTGCGGCAACTCGCGTAGGTGAACGGCTACCGGTTCGACTACTCGGTTGTAGTCTGGTGTTGAATTTCCTGTCTCTAATTTTTGGTTGAGAAAATACTTCTTGCAGATACAGGTTCGCAAAATCGATTTGAATGGTTTGGTTGTATAGAACTACTTAATGAGACGCGTAGGTAACTGATCGCAATCGAAAAGATCTAACTATACGCGGACCTTTAGAGGTACATGTCACACAGAAAGGAACAAACAGTGGAGTGTAGTCATTCCTTAATTAATTTGCCTCCATTTTGGATCATACTATGAATTTTCTCTTTCGTCTAATAGAGCCACTACAGTTTTCCGTTTATTGGAATTTACGAAACCACAACATTGTTCTGCGATTGGTTATGTTGGTTATGTTGCCAGTAGTTGCTGGATCAGCTGTGTACGCGTTTGCTCGTTTCTTCTCTCTCGTCCCCGGACAGATTGATCCACGGGNGGACGATCCGGAGATATAGCAGCTATTCAACCGAAGGCTGCCGGATCGAGTGTGATCAATCGATTAACCAATCAACTTCTCTTGGACTGGCTTCGGAAAGCTGGTGTGTATTCACGGTGTTTTTCTGCACATCTCTACATTCGTTCGTCTGTGATTCCAGTGTGACAAATGCTTTTTATCTTAGAAATCATGAATTGGATCCCCGATGGGTCGTTGAATATGTGCCAGAATGTCCAAACAATCGTACACCGCTTTCGAGCTCCTCCTCGAACTACTTCAGACGCGTTCCATTCTTCTTTTTTACTTCCGTTTATTGAATACACAATGACACCATTTTCCGAAAGGGGAAAGCGGCCAATCAAAGAGTTACCGTACAACACACAAATGGAGGAAGTCAGGCGGTGGTGGTGTGATTGGAACACTCGTCNTTAGAGCTGTTGCCATCGGACCACTGCCGCTCTACGTTCTTACTTCACATTGGCCTTAACAAAAGAAAAGCATTTTTAGAGGTCCTTTTTTTTGCCTAATTGAATATAATCTGATCAACAATACCTCACTTATTGCCAACAGTTTTGCATTGCATCACCCAACCTTATGCGCACGTAATTTTTAGTATAATCAGCCCACTTACTGGGGAGTTGACCATCTACTTCTAGATTTGGTAATCTTTGTATGCTTGTACACTTTCATTCACCATAATTGGTCAACCCCATACGCAATATATGTGCCTATCTGTTTCAATTCAGTGATTAAGAATATTGAACGAAATGTTAACATCTCACGACATTGGTCTTCTTTTTGTATTGATGACTTTGGAATGTGGTCGGCCATTCGTTGTGAGAATTGACGCTTGGTCCTGTCTACGTTATGCGTCACCGCAACTGCAGATGAACTGGTATACAGTGTGTGAGACAACTGTAGATAGCCAACCATTAACAGCTCATAAAAACGATTTACACAAACGTATACATTGGTTGGAAATGCAGTTCTCTATACCAGTTCATCCGCCGTTGCGATGACATATACGTAGGCAGAACCAACCGTCACAACGAATGACCGAAGACATTCCAAAGTGGTTGTTGAGGCGGATGATGCAACCAACAATCATTAATCAGACGGTCACACGGAACCCTGGATGATCAAGTGAAAAACATCTCGTGACAACCAAACATAATTGATCCCGCTTTCTTTAGAACCCTTGTTCCGTAATTAAAATGCTAAACTGTTGGCAACTAGTAAGTGAATATAAAAAAACACGATTATTTGTGCTCATATGTGCGTCATCTTTAATGGTTCACTTTTTCACATTATAGGTGCCCCTAGCACAGCACACTGCTTCCTAGTTCCCATGGCCACCGGGATGTCATTGACCCTATGCATGCTTACACTGCGCAAACGTCGTCCAACTGGTGCACGGTTTGTTCTCTGGCCGCGGATCGATCAAAAGTCTTGTTTCAAATGCATTCTAGCCGCTGGTAGGTGTTGCTTCTTTTTGTTAGGTTTTCCCCAAATCGCCTTGTTCGTGGGGATTTCTTCTGTTCGATTGACGAATCATCGTATTCATTCACCATGTTTCGTTCGAATGTAATCACCCAATTTAATTCCATTCTGCCAGATTTCTCCGCTACTGGGACAATCTTTATATGCGATAGCAACTCCATTAGCATCCGGCTAAGCACACTGCACCTTTCGCGCTTTGCCATCCCTAGTCCCGGGGTACAGGTAGTGGATATCCGTTGCTCATCACATTCAAATGTGGAATGAGAACACAATATAGTGTATTCATCTCCCCGCCTACTTTACCGAGCCTGTCAAGTCGTTTGCCAATAATTCCGCAACAGCCGAAGTGAAAGTTTCCGCGCTTTTGGCATGGCTATGTTCTGTTTTCTTCTGTTCAGTCATGTAAATTTTTCTCTGATTCATTTGATGCATTAGTCCAACTCACTGTTGAACTAGCACAGAACGGTCTCTGGTTGCGTCACGGGGTGTGACCTCTTCCTTTAGTGCGTCATTCGATTCATGAATCGATCTGCACGCGTACACTTGATCAATACGCCTATTGCTCTCAGTTGTTCGTTGAGTGTCACCTCCCCTTGACTTGATCTGATTAGGTCAATTCGATGGTTTTCATTGATTCACAGTCAAATCAACTTCTCTCTTGATTCAGATTCAGTAAGATAAGTGACGGTTGTACCCCCTGACTTTACTTACTTGCTTTTACTTTGCGGCGGCTGACTCCTGGGAGAGGATAAACCGGCTTTATGGATATCAAGTGAAGTTAGGTACAGGAAACGTCCCCAGCGTCACCCGGTTTTGGATCGAGATGGCATCTCTAGTCTTTGCACATCCAAGTGCTAACTGCAAGGCAGTAGGAAGATAGCGCA